TTATTTCAAGTGTTAATATTTTTTTCTTCAGAATCAAGTTAATTAAATAGGTGTTTCCTGCAGGGCTATATATTCTCTGAAAATTGTGTGTGCATGACACTTCAAGCTGCTCTCAGCTCCTCAGAACACATTATTTGCTTTTTGTCTTGTCGAAGTTTCTTACCCTTACATTCTGAATGCTTATTTTGAGCTCTTGTTGTAGAGTTTGAAAATTGTAACAAAAAGGGAAAGCAGTACACACTTTTCACCAATCCTAGGCATTCTCTGGACATTTAAGTAATATATGTTCAAATTCATCCCTTTCACCACTTGTAAGAAGCTTGTTACTTTCTTGCGACAGTAGGAGGAGGAGGAAGAAAAGAAGATTGATTTAAACATATAATTAGATTTAAAGTTTGGAAGAAAGTTTGTAGTATTTGATGAAAGAGCTTAAGAACAGTTGATGAAAATGACTGTCCTATATGGGGACGAAATGGAGCTGTGGATTTCAGAAGTAATCATTCAAAGTAATTGTTATACATGTACAGTGTGTGTGTGTGAGAGCAGGGATAACGGAATTGAAGATTACTTAACATGTAACGAATTGAAATGCTGTGGATAAAGTTGTAGAAGTGCTGTTGAAATAGCTTTGGAAGACATCTATATTTATTTGCTAGAAATATTGAATCCTCATTCAGAAGTGGAACCACAATTAACATGATGGGTTACAGGTATTTTTTCAGATGTCAGATTAAAAAGAAACTGTCAGAAATCAAGCCACAGTAATGAAAGGTGCTCTAGATGTAGCTTACATGTATATTTATCCTTTTATGGCACCCAAGTCGTATTTGCTGTGTTTGCTTTGCTTAATTAATTATTTTTTAATTGCCAAGGTACTAGGGTTGAAATGAAGGCTAAAGAACTGATCTTTGCAAGTTTATTTGCACAGAAGTTTCCTCTATTTTACAGGAAATCCTAGATATTGTAATTACTCAAAATCTAGATATAAAAAGAAAAAACAAGCAAACAAACATCTTTTAATTAGTTACTCAGATACATGAAGACCAATATTTGAAAGGATGGGGAAAGGGAAAAAAAAACCTCACACACTCACCTCTTCAAATATTATACAAAGAAATGTGATCAGCAGTAATGGACTCAACCATACTCTTCTAAGAAAAAATAAGCTGCATTTGATTGAGATCTTTTCCTTGATGACCAGTGTGGAGTCTGTGAATTTACAAGGCCAACATTTTAAGGAGTTGTTCAGTTTCAAAATCCAACTTTCAGTTGGTGGCACTTAAAAAGCCGATGATCATTCCCTCTATCTTCTTTTCTTTGAGGTATAAAGTTGCTTACATGTCTGGCTACTGTGGCTGTGTCTCAACAGCAGTTTCTGGAAGCATTTCTGACATAAATGTGCACCACGTTTGCTTCCCTCTTCTGTGTAAGGGAGAATCTAAACATGCACCACTTTCTCTGTTGCAACACTCCATTCCAAATCCTGATACCACATGGAGGGGTTGAGGATATTGCTGGAAGGAAGCATGGCACATCTCAGGCTGGTTTCCTGCCTGGGAATTAGGGGACCAAGGATGTCCCACCGCAGACAACTTCCTTGAAGACAAGGCACAGTGATGACTTTAGAATTTCTTAGGTGTGGCTGTTGGTTTTGCTTTTTATTTAGGTGTGGCTGTTGGTGTTGCTTTTTATTTAGGTGTATCTAGGCAAACCCAGTAAGTTCTGATAGTTTGACCCTGGAGTTACTTCTGCTATTTCATGTAGCTAACTCATGGCCGCAGATTCACGAACTAGGGTATTTTTATCTTTGAACCTTGCTTGACAAAAAAGGCAGAGTCCTGTGGTTTTAGTTAATGTTCTGTGGATTGTTTCTATTTTCATCTGTATATAATTCTACTTTCATCTATTTCTATTCTATATTTTTAGTTACTGTGCAACACAAAAGCAAGCAAGGGAATGTGGAACTTGAGCTGAGTTTTCTGCTATTTCTTGACCAGCAGGCAATGGTGTGGAGAGTCCCTCTTACCTGCTCTTCTGTTCTTACAAGTTTTATACTGCTGTGTTCCTGGCAGACCGGTTTCAGCTGGAGGAAGTACCCATAGTCTCACAGTTGGGTCGTTATTTGGGATTAGGGGAAAGATTGGTTTATGTCCATGTGCTGAAGAAGCCTATAATTTAAGACTTGGTACTTTTGGGCCAAAGTTAGTAGAACATGGTTACAATGCCATTTTTCAGTATGTTTTAGTTTGAACTTCATATGCTAGGTAAGCTCAGAAAATGCCTAGAAAATTAGGCCCTTCAGAGGAATGTCAGTAAGGACTGCCAAGTTTCTGGTTACCAAATGGTATGGGATAGAAAAATGTAGCGGCCAGAACCACCATAGAAACATTGTACCTGGTGCTGATGGAAGAGTAGTTTTTTAAAAGGGTGAAAAGGATTTCAGACATGTCAGATGTGTGGGGAGTTGAGTGCTTATGTGTGCATGTAAGGCATGGAAATTACAGGGTGTTCCACTGCTTTTATGGACTTTCCAGTGACTGTCCAGCTATTTTTTTTATAACCATGAGATTTCAAATATGTACCTGGGAATGAGAAAAGGGAAAAAAAAAAAAAAAAAAAAAAAAAAGAGGAGGGGAGGTGTCTAAATAAAACCAAACTGAGAATCTGGCCGATAAAACATCAATTGGACACCTCTCCAAAGTGTAATTAAGTAAACAGTTCCCTGCTGTCACCTGTCTATAACATGACATTGTTTCCATCAATTTACTGGCTGGCAGGTGCTTCTGTTTCATCCTAGGTGAGATCCAGTGTTGAGACATTCAGACAGCTGCTGGATTGGCTCAGTGCAGTAGTGGGTGGTCTTGTATGGCTGGTAGTTAGCCTGGTGATCCATACTGCACTTTGTCACCTCTTGCTGGCAATTGCAGTGAGGATGTGAAGTGGCTGGACTTGGAGAGGGGAAGAAAAATAAAAAAGTTGTTCTTACTCCTGGCTCTTAAACAGAGCTGAGGTGCCCTGAAAAGCTGGGCTACCCTTATTGCTGCCTGTTCTGTGGAAAAATAAGCTCGGGAATTAATGCCAATAGTTTAACACTGTTCCTGATGAGTGAATTTGTAAACCTGAAGGAAACTCATATCAATTTTTGTTTGTTTCTATGAATTTGCTCATATTGATTTGGTTTCAGACTACCTAAGTAAATAGTGTAACTGGATAATACATCAGAGTATTGCACAGTAGCCTGCTTTATTTATTTATTTTTCTGGTTTGGTTTGTCTTTTTAGTAGAGCCTCTCATACTTGCTAGTTTTCTTGATTTTATATGTCATGCATGCATTAGATTTCTAACACAGCCTCATATCTGAAGGGAACGCATACATTTTTGTTTCAAGTTCTGCTTGCATTAGGGTGTTTTTCAAGACTATAGCTAATGTCATAACTTTCTGTTAATACAGTGGTCTAAACAGTGGGAAAAATCATTTTTTAAGTCGTTAGCTATTGCCTTGTTGTTAATCATATCTTATAAACCATAAAAAGGTATTTATGATTGAATGTAGAAACCTTAACATGCCTTTCAAACTACCATTTATTACTTCTGGGCAATTTTTATTTGTGTGCTAGGTGAGGATTAGTTCCTGAGGATACTCAATGCCAGTGACATGGTTGAAATGGAATTTCTATTTTTTTGGTATGCACCTGGTACTCCTGATGGGTGTCTTGTGCACTTGGCAGAGCTGAGCCTGGAAGCAGTGTCTCCCTTTTCTAAGGGAGGAATAAAAGTTCAACTTCTAATTTTTGTTCCTGTCGTATCTGTGAAATATTGTGTATGCTTTTAGCTAGACTACTTCATTATATGGCTGTGGATAAGAGACCTAGTCCAATTGTCCCTTGGTGCTAGAGACAGAAATTGAAAAAGACCTTGTGCTTATTTTGGAAGAGCTAGTTATCACTTTGACCACAAGAGTAACTTGTACGGTACTTTGTTCTTTTTCCACTGTACTCTTATTTTTTCCCCATTTATACATCTTCGGAATTATGTCTATAAAAACATCTGCTTAACAGATGTGGCTTTAAAATAAAATTACATTTTAATATAACATCATTTACTGTCATGAAGTAAATATCAAGTACTAAATAGAAAGCAGTTTCAAACACATTCAGAAATGGCTGAAAAATCTTTCTCCAGAATGCTTTGCTATAGAAAGTTGGTCTTTTAGCTGAACTAAATAGATATTTTATTTATTTTTTTAAAGTGACTATTTCCCATTTGAAAACTTTTGACTTCTCATGAAAACAAAACAAAATCAACATATACAGAAATTTCTGTACTTCTGCTGGTCTGAAAACTTCACTTTTTGTGTTGGTTTGTAAACCAGCCGATAAATAAACAGGGCCACCTTTAGGACCACTGCAAAAATACTTAACAAAATGGATATCTGTATTACAATACTGGCAGCTGAAATAGCAGTCCCTAAACTCATTTGAGAACAAAACTAATCATTCTATATATTTGTGACATATAATTCTAAGGACTACATTTTTAACTGAAAAAAGTTTATTTCATATTTCAAATTAATTAATTCAAATTAATTCATTCTTGCTGCTGATAAGAGATGCTGAAGTTGTACACGTTTTTTAAAAATTTTGAAATTGCATTTAAAATTTGTCCACAAAACTGTTAAACACTATTTACACGAGAAAATAAATCCTTCTTTTGCAGTTTATATTTATGTAAGTAGCTTTATTCCTATTCCACATTTTATTCTTGTTTAAAAATAAGATAAGATCTTGTATCAAATCTTTAAAATGAGAGCACTCTCTCTGGTGATTTTTTCCCTATTTCATACTTGTTCTGCTCAGAAGGAACTATAACAATGTGAGAGGGAAAATACCGAAGGTCTTATCAAGTTCCAGGTCCTGTGAGCTGATATTAGTAAAGGTCATCTATATGTTATTTCTGGAAGTATCCATAAGTTCTTAACAAATAAACACTTTACATTGCAGGTGCCAATGCTAAAGGATAATTCCAGAGTTTCACTTCTGGAAATAACTTGAAACTTGTAACTCAAAGGAGAAGAATATGAGGTACAAGCAGTTACTTGTTGAGGAGGAGAATAAAGCCTAGAACTATTTTTATTGACTACTTCCCACTTTGATTGCACCTGATGCCTCTCTCTGGTGAGTAATAACATGGCTAATGGGAACATTATCTTCTGAAAAGTACCCAGAAACAGAAATATAACCTTGATGTTTCTGGTCACAACTGAGTGAGGAGGAAGAATGTTGCAATTGGAAAATATGGCAGATATTGGAAGTATCTGACCAGGAATGTTATTCAAGCATAACATTTTTGCCCTTGCAAAAAATATCAATTCAGATTTCACTATAGCTAATGAAACCATTTTTTTTCCTTCCATTAAAGCCAGTGGCAACTTCCTGAAAACTGAAAGCACGCTAAAAAAAAAATTAATCTTTAAAATGAAATTACTTGCAGATAAAATAAAGCAAGAGGGTTGTTGATGGTTAAGCACAAAAGAGAATTATATTAAAGCTGAAGGAAAGGAGCAGGAAATTAGAATAGGATCCCTGGATCTGTAAAATTGAAGTAGAATATTTGCTTCCAGTTTTACAGTTTTACACAACAATGTATAAGAGACATTGTTATGGTTTGCTTTTTTTTTTTATCACATTACTTACATACAATTTATCATACAATTTATTGCATTTGGAAAGAAAAGAATTCTTCTGGTTTAAAAAAACAAAAACAAAAAAAAACAAACAGGGTGGGGGTAGAGTGTTACGAGAGTTCTAGTATGAGCTAAATATGACTTCCCTTTCCCTTTAATTTGGAAGATTAAAGCTTATTTATTTACGTATTACTTTTTGCCAGACACATGCAAGGGTATATGCGAAACAGGCTTGTAAAGCCTAAAATGTAGGTCTCCAAAGCACTTGTTTAGTTCCTGTCTAACTTTAGATGCACCGAAATGTAATATTCTCTGAAGTTATTAAGACTTAATATCTCTGGGTGCCTCACAGAATCTGTTAAGTTGGTGAACACTTAACTTGATACTGTAACAGGAAACTTCACTGAGGCTTTATATTGGGGCATTTTGATAAATTGAATTTCTGCCTATTTTAAGGACTTCTTACCTTGTTAAAGAGCAAATGAAAATCAGACTTAAAGGATTTACTGTTGTGAGCTATCAATAACTTGAAACATTTTTAACTTCTCCACAAAGGGGACAAAAATATTTTGCATAATATAAAAGATTAAATCCTGACATATAAATTCCTTTGTATGCTGAGGGGTATTTCAGAATAGATCTCAGCAAAAATAAATTATTCCTACTGATACAACTCAGTTCCTCTGATTTCCTTTTGGTTAGGAGGGAGCTACATTATTTCAAATAGATTGGTGTTTTTGAGGAATTAGTATTCCTATGGCTCATAACATAAACACGGCAGAATGGGAACAGAAAAAAGAGAAGCCAATTCTCTTAGCCAATGCAGTGTGGAGGTCAGATTTATTCTAGATTATTTAGATACTACGGTAGAATGACATTAATAACCTAACTTATTCAGAACATGTCTTGTGCTCCACTTTGGTTTTGAACCTTAGCCAAGACAATGAGTGCAATGAGTAAGGTGAGGTTGTTCACTCAGCCGCAATCTGGCTGTATGACCAAGAGGTGACCTTTTAGTTTTCATTCACCATCCACCCTTTCAGAAATGTCCAATAATACTTAAAAGCAAGTAGATGGAAGATCCCAGTGCTTGCTGAAAATAAAAGAAAAGCAAATCCAGATATATTGGCCTCCTTGTAATAATTAGAAAAGTTAATTCTGCTTGAAGTTTAAAAACTTCAAACCTTTCAGAAGCCTGTACTGAGGGTCATTTGAAACCCAGAAACATGAAGAATCATGATGGCGCTTTTTGTAAAGTAGTCTCATAAATGAAAACAGAAAATGAGCGAAGTTTTACTTTGTTTTTCTCCCCTCTCTCCTGTGAATTACTTTCCCTTTCTGGCATTCTGAGAGCATAATCATTTTTCTTTAGCAATAAGATGGTTATAAATCTTGGAATCCAAATTATTCTAGTTGCTTTGCATTATCACAGTTCTTAGAAGTTCTTAGAACATTGCTAATATGGAAACATCTATAGAGAATCAGAGACAGTCTGTTTTGTTGAGGCTAAATAGGTGGGGTTTATTTACATTTTGAATTATTTTAGGGGGTATTAAATGCCATATTTAAACATACATCATTCTAAAGAGGATATATGGGGTTATCTTCTGTGCTATTGTCCATTGGCTTGAAAAGAGAACCTACATATGCATCATTCAGTTAGTTTATAAATACACGTGTAAGACTGTTGTTTTGTACTCTTTGTTCTAGTTATTGAAACGTATATTTCACTGATGCTTAGGGCTGACTGATGATTAACAAATGTACCTCATAGCAGTTGTCAAGATTTGGAAGTTCTTCATTCTGAATTGTCCCAAACAGCAAACGTAGAGAACACTTCTGAGGCTTTGTTGTACATAGTTCAGAGTGTTGCCCTATGGTATGGAAGAATACATTTCAAGTCTCTGATCTAGAGTAACGTTTTTCATACTAGATTTTTTCAGGCAGTCCATGTGAATGTTGGATTTGAACCTTGCCTCCATTTCAGGCACATGGTTGAATCATCATTTAGAAAGAGTGTATTATGAAAGTTTCAGATTGTCTTATGAAGTTTTTATATATTACCTCAACTTTCATCCTTAGAATGTATCTGATTAATCAACAAAAGATTAGAGAGATCAACATGAAAGTTACTTTGCTAACTAGAGAAGTAAACAGAATTGTTAGCAAAACACAAATCAACCATGGTACCAACCATAATACTGATGGCCTACAGAACTGAACGGGGACTTGTGCTTCTAGATGTAGTCCTTCACTCTCTAAGACTTGACAAGGAGCAAGGGATTTAGTCCTTTTAGAAAAGCAAAACCCTCTGTAACTACAGTACTCATTTATGTTTTTTCTCTACCACACAGTGTTTCACCTACTTTATTTCAGTAGCAGTTAACTGTAGCCTCTTAGCATTTTGAAATCAAACTAATGAAACCTACTAGATTTGATTACAACCCTATTAGTGTATTAGTTATGAATACAACATAGTTTTCTAATTGGAGTAGAAAAATGGAACTACATCTTTAGAAGTTATAGAAGATGAACTGTTGATGTGCTTATAAAGTAGGGGAAGACCAAGAGGAAAGCTAAAAGATTCCCAAAGCTCATATGGGTTCTGAATTTCAATATGTATTTATGGATAACTGTAAGTTTCTTTTTATATTCATATGCTATCAGGTATGCTACAAAGAAAAAAGTAGAGTGGCAACTTCCTTTAAAAAAATATTTTTTCATTTCTTTAAAAACAAGAACTATTGTGTTGCCAACCTCGTTATTTTCTATTGTGAAATTGCTTCTGTGATATCTAAGAAAGAAAAGAAACATTTTACAGTCCAGGAAACCTCACTTTTTCTTTTTATGGCATGGCGCTATTGCATTGAGAATAATTTATGTGAGCCTTTTGGACTTTGATGAAAGTTTAATAGCTGTGCTGCTGCATTTGCATGGAATGTGTCTATCATTCTAGGCTAATCTAAACTGGAAGTCTACACTTTACCTACAGGTTTACTGATAAGCAAAAACTGAATCAGTTTTAATATGAAAAAATATCACAACAGTCTACAATTATCTCTTTCTTCTAAACCAATTAATCCTATTGGTATTTTATCATATTTAAACAAATACACCATTCTGTTGTGTATGATAACAAAGAAGGTAAAACCAGTGGTTATTCACATAACTTCTAAACATGATAGGGCATTCTCAAATAATATTTTCAACAGGTTTTTATTTTATGAGTTCATCTATGTAGTGCTTGCAGTAAGTGCGTAAAATTATAGCCTTGCTGCTCTTAGAACATTGTCTTCCAGAGCGTACAACTTCATGTATTGTATTGAAGAAAAAAGACAAATTCTGTTGAAACTAGCACGTGCTTCTAACCGTGCCAATATATGGCCCTGATTGTAACTGACATCAACAAGGCAAGACCCCGGAATGGGGACACTAGCCCATTCCCATTTGCAATGATGGCATGCCATCTCTCATGAAGACATAGTAGTATCTGTACATCCTAGAATTCAGCTTGATCACAGCTCTTGGTTTTACTCCAGGGCTTCTTATTATGTATTTCACAGTTACTATAACAATAGAAAATAACAAAGGAAAGGACTGAGAGTATATTAATGGGGACGTTGAAGAGTACATGGGCTCAAAAGCATAAAATAGGTATCATGAGTTCCTCCAGATCCTTTAGGTATTGCTTTTGGTTTTGTTTCTGTTCTCTAGTTGCTATATCAATGTGAGGGAAAAATATTAACAGGGCAGATGATATCTTAACAGCTTTGTTTTCCATTGAAGACTATAGAGCACCGACTGTGTCATTTCAAAGAGCTGAGAAGATTTTCACCTTGATGGTTGAATTTGGAACATTCACCATGGTTGTTGTTTTTTCTTTTTTTTTTTTTTTTTTATGGAAAAAAATGGTTAGTTGTGAGTTACCCATTTAATTTCATCTAGTTAATCTGTAGCAAATTTTTTTTTTACTTTAACTCAGGTGACCCATGTGACTGTTGAAAAATATATATTGTTTTGAAGGAATTAATGAGGAGAATAGATATTTGGGTTCAGCACCTGTTTTTACTGAGTTGTCCTGTCATCTTTGCTTAAACTGGATTTCTACTCATTCTCTCTAAAAGAAATGTCTGTTGCATCAGTGGTTCAATCTACAAGTGTAAGCATTATGGTGAAGTGAGAAATACCTGGCAATGTCAGTGGGTTCTGAAGTCCTGTTCATCCTGAGTGAAATCTTTGAGAAAAAGGTGAAAGATGTTCTCTTTGTTAATCAATGTACACTTAGTGCATGCCCACAGGCACAGCTGCAGCAGGTCAAAAGGATTTAATCTATGTGTGCATTGTCCCCCTGTACTTGGCTCTGGTGAGGCCGCACCTTGAGTACTATGTTCAGTTTTGGGCCCCTCACTACAAGAAGGACATTGAGGTGCTCGAGTGAGTCCAGAGGAGAGCAACAAAGCTGATGTCTGGAGAACAAGTCTTATGAGGAGT